TTAGATATGCGCGGCGCAGCTAGTCCAAAAATAAAACAACCTTGCGGCCAAAGGCTATGGGGTTGGGCAACCTTTCTCAGCTGTTGGGCCAGAAATGCTTCCAGAAGGTGTCGTTGAATGCCGCCCTTGTAAACATTAACAGGCGGCAACTTGAACCCTTCCCTTTGGATTCTCACTCCCTGGTCCTGGACTTTAGTTATTTTTGGGAAGATCATGTTAGTTGTAAACGACAACTTTGGTTGCAGTTTTTGGCCAGTCCACTCAGAGTCAGGTAAACATGTTCAACCCCCATGAAAAGAAGGCTTGAACCCCAGTAATGTAAGCGCCCATATGGACCGCTGAGGGCGCCCGCAACAGCGCAACCCTAGCTCTCTGCTGGGTGCGCTTGTGGGCGCATGTGGGCGGGGTTTCATTGGGTGCTTGTGGGGTGTGAGGGGGGGGGGTGGGCGGCACTGTTGCAGGCGCTCCCTTCATAATTGCTTGCGGGCACTTGTGGGCGCTCTTGGTGGGTGCTTGTGGGTGGTTGCGGGCGTTCTTCATGAGTGCTTGCGGGCGCTTGTGGGCGGCAGTGGGCGAGCGCCCATATGCGCCGCACACCCAAAAGCGCCCAAGAAGAGCCCCCACATGCGCCTAGAAGCACCCGCCAAGAGGAACGCCCACAGAGGCAACAGTGCTGCCCACAAGCGCCCGCAAGCACTCATCACGCACGCTTGCAAGACTTCCGTCCTTGTGGCCCACATGCGCCCACAAGCCCCACGAAGGAGCGCCCACAAAGCGTCCGCAAGCGCTCATGAACATCGCCCGCAAGACTTCCGCCCACAAGCGTCCACCAAGACAGCCCACCAAGAGAGGCACAAAGGGAGCCGACAGCGCCTGCAAGCGTCCTTGAAGTGAGCGCCCACAACGAAATGCCATTCCTTCACAGCAAGCCGAAACTGGCTGATGCTGGCCGAGGCGGGCAGCACGAAGCGTGTACAATAAAAATGTGTGCTCGCGGAGCTTACCCTTGCAAGCGCGAGCTCTACGTTCAAGGGCTGCTTTGTTTCCTGCTGTTTCATGTTTCTTTGCTGCTGTTTCCTGATGCTTCCTGCTTCTTCCAGCTCTTTGGAAGGCCCCGAAAACAAGAGGCCCCACAAGGGATTTGCTGAGACACACAGAGACACGCAGACACACAGAAACACGCACACACAAACAGACACACAGAGACACAAAGAAACACAAAGAGACACAGAGACACATTGAGACACACAGAGACACACAGAGACGCACACACAAACACACAGAGACGCACGCACACACACACACACACACACACACACACACACACACACACACACACACACACACACACACACACACACACGCACACGCACACACGCACACACACACACACACACGCACACACACACACACACGCACACACACGCACACGCACGCACACACACACGCACACACACACACACACACACACACACACACACACACACACACACACGCACGCACGCACGCACGCACGCACGCACGCACGCACGCACCCACGCACCCACGCACCCACGCACCCACGCACCCACGCACCCACGCACCCACGCACCCACGCACCCACGCACCCACGCACCCACGCACCCACGCACCCACGCACCCACGCACCCACGCACCCACGCACCCACGCACCCACGCACCCACGCACCCACGCACCCACGCACCCACGCACCCACGCACCCACGCACCCACGCACCCACGCACCCACGCACCCACGCACCCACGCACCCACGCACCCACGCACCCACGCACCCACGCACCCACGCACCCACGCACACACGCACCCACGCACCACGCACCCACGCACCCACGCGCCCACGCACCCACGCACCCACGCACCCACGCACCCACGCACCCACGCACCCACGCACCCACGCACCCACGCACCCACGCACCCACGCACCCACGCACCCACGCACCCACGCACCCACGCACCCACGCACCCACGCACCCACGCACCCACGCACCCACGCACCCACGCACACGCACGCAAATAGCTGGATTGCGTGAGCACAAGAACAATCATTGAGGCATCACCTCTTCTTTTTTTTAAAGTGGAAGTGATGTTGTTTCAAGAGGGAAGTGTCGCCAAAAAGTGCAGTGTGCAAGCTACAGCTATTCGGCTATGCGTTGTCAGACATTGAGATGGCAACACTCATGGTGCTCTGTTTGCCCAAAGCGAATGTTGAGCACCCTGCCTGGCTGGAGTGGATGTGAAACACATTCTGTTGCAACAACAAAACTCCTCTATGTCCCACGCATAGACCAATCCTGAGGACCATACTGAGAGGTGGTTTGCCTTCAGGGAAACTCTTTCATTTCAGAGGGATTGCTCTGATGAGTACCCTCTCCAACAATCATAGTGGTTTGGGGGGCTTCCTCAAAAAGAAAGTAGTCTTACAAAACTGTTCTGTCCGCTTCTCTTCTGTCTGATTCCATGATCGTTGGAGGAAGGGTATGGTATGGTCCTCCAGATTGCGAAGAACCTCTTAGCTCGGCCAAGTCACTGAAAGTGATGCATCGGGGGAGATCCGATACAGCCAGGTGGCATTGCCTGGGGCAAGCGCGGTAGTGGTGCTCGTCCACCAGTATGGCGGAGAGAACAACATTACTTGCAAAGGAGATTTGTCTAAAACGTATTTAAACAAAATGGGTGATGCAACTTTGGTGTCAGTCTCCAAGGGATCAAGTGCAAGATAGCTACCAAACCTGTATGTACTGGGGGCGTCCATTAGAAATAAATATCCTGGGACTATTAATTATGTTACTAGGCATTAAGCATTGCGCACATGACGAAGCAATGTTAGCAATACTTGATCCGTGATTTGCAATCATCCCATCAATGGAGGAAGTTGAGAAGCACTTTGCAAGCATGAAAATTGCGCAATATGCCCATGCTTTCTGAGACATGTCAAACAGTTGCTTCAGTCTATAAACGCGTTCTTGGGAACCTGCCCGATGCAAAGCTGGTGGGTAAACTTGGAACGGAAATCCATGGCTAGGAAGCATGCCCGTGTCAGCGAGTCATATCAGGATCTTGAAACCAGCCGAAAGCCGACTGCCGGCTAACAGTGTTCGAGGACGCGCACAGGAGGGACGACCTGTACGCTAAGGATATTGTCCCAAAGACCAATGTGCTCAAGCTCAAGGTCATGTACTCTGCACATAGTTCATTCAGGGTCTACACGAGTCATCAAAGCAACGTTGAAGAAAAGCTGAGTTTCCTTAGCTCAAGCGCAGTCACCCTACACAGCTCACGCATTTGGGTTCTGCAAAGCCTGGATGACGGCCGGCTTGACTGAACAACTGTCGTGGAAAAGGGCATCTGCCAAACGAGAAGCAAACGTACAGTTGCGTGAGTGTGGCGCACATCCTCAGTGTTGGTAAAGTAATCATAGTAATCATGAAGAGAAGTTTAACATCTAATTTCCGCTCAACATCTTCCAGGCCACTTTTTTGTGCACGGCATGTCTGGTGTCTCTCTTGACTGAAGTTCCCCACGTACGGATTGTACATTTGGCCCCCCAAACGTATGTCGTGATTGTAGTCCTCATTTCATTCGACTGTAATGTGCCGCTGCCTTCCAAGCTATTGCTGTTGCTCTTGGATGGATAATCATGGTTCCTTACTCATCGGGGATCATCGTGGTTGTCAGTGGCCACCAATGACCTGTTCACGCGATTGCCCATCCCCACTCAACCCCAACAAGCACATTCATCTAACAGCCCCAAGCAGTTGCCCTTCCCCAAAAAACAGCAAACCGCGTCTTACCATGGCATATCGAAGCCGTCAACCAGCCGTTTGGTTTAAGAAACCAGATCCGCTAGAAAGACCTCGTGATACCAACTACCATTAGTCAGGCTCGGAGAAAGTTCCACCGACCCGGGTGCTACCAACCAGGTCATGAAGGGTTCGGCCGGGTGTCCCACCATCGCCGCGCTTCACGCGCACTCGGCCATTGTGAGGAAATGGCCAGCAATTGACGTCCTAGCGCAAACAACAAGTGGCTATGGTCCCAAGTCCTTCAAAGAAGGGTGGTATATAGCCAACTATTAGGATTCGCATTGGAGGAATCTTGACTGTGGCCATGAAGACTTTTGAACATGGCACCAAAGGAGTATTGTACAAACCTCCCAGATAACAGAGAGAACAAAACACAAGATGCAGTTTGTTTTTCTTTCGGGCGGGCCATCTGAGGCGTTCAATATCCCCGTAGGCGATCCATGGAAGCCATCACTCATTGTTACCCCTTTTTGAGGCAAGCCTTCTTCCACGAGGCTCTAGCTGACCGCATGGCGATCCCTAGATGGGTGTGAATTTCGATGGGGGCCCTTTGGTACATCATTTAGGTGGGTTCGTGTCCACCAACCATGTTTGAGGTGGTTCCGACTTTTGAAATTCATAGCCGCATTTACCCTAAAGCTTTCTCAAGCAAAAGAAACCTCACGTGGATCAATGATGTTTGAAGCCATGCAGAGACCTGCGCATGTCGAAATTTGGCAGCAAAAGCTCACCCCTTGCAAGGCAGAAGCTAATATGAAGCGCTGTGGGGAGTCAGCTACCCATCCAAGCATTTTCCTCTCAAAAGAAGCCTCTCGTGGCTTCCATGTGAGTCAGTGCGAAGGTAAGTGTTCAGATTTGAGGGGGGCTCCGCTGCATGAACTCGCAGCGGGGGGTAGCAAGCATAGGGGTCAAGGCCAACACTCGTCGCTGGGCATTGCATAGCATAGACTCATGCACACATGCTCTCCCAGGTCGTTCCGACATTCCCAGCCGCTTGCACGCTGCTTGGCACTGAGACTGTTCTATCCATTGCAAGCCAATGAATCTCCGAACCTAGACTAATCATTACCGTTTGATGGAGGGCGGCCAAAACACAGGCTTAGAGGTAGACCTTTGCAAGGGGGGGGGGGGGGCTAGCCAGGCTTTAGGTACTTGGACCCACAGTGCCCATCCCCCGATCAATTCCAAGGCACACCGCCGTAGATCACCGGCCATCGGCCCTGCACCTGCGACTCTCGGCTGCACTCTTGTGGGGATCAGCCATTTGTTACCAAGCGGAAAAAAAACACGCGGAAGTCCAAAAAGGGGGCCTTTCTGAACCCGACGTTGCCAAAGACGGATAGGCTTTTGGGTTCCCTCCGTGAGTAAAGCAAGCCCAAAGGGTCGCCCAAGCGCAAACACGTCTCATGGGTCATCCTAAGGCTTTCCAAGGACGACTTTAACAATCGATGAGCTCACAGGCTTGCTGGCTGCAACGTTCAAATGCACTTCAAAGAGCTTGTCTTGAGCAGGGGCAATCTGAAATCCCTGGAGAATGCACTTCCTGGCTCTCGAGATCATCTGAAGGCCAAGGCTGTGTGCAATTGTGCCTAAGCAAATTTACCAAACCGGAATTAAGGCATAGGGGACCGACATCCTGAAGCGTGTTTTACAGCAGCAGAGATGGCACGTTCGGCTAAGGAAGCAGGGGCTTATCTGGCCAAAAGGACGCAAGCGGAGCGAACACACAGTAGAAGGGCCCCGAAAGTATCCCAGGGTGTTGTCACTCCACATCGCGAGCATGTCGGGCATGTTGCATACAAGAAGGACAGTTCCTAGTTGCACATTTGCCAAGTTGCAGGTGCTTTCCATCCGATCGCCGTTATGTGACGGAAAAGGCGATCAAGCTGATGGTTTGCAGCTTGCATTTCTTCACAGTGTAAACCAGAGGCCGAAGACTCAAAACATAGCTGCCTTGGGCTGGCGTCACTGACTCATCAGTCAAGGATTGAACATGGTTGTGGAAGGGACACCGAGGTGGGGATCCCATCCCCGTGACAACTTCATCACTTGCAAAGGGATTCCCTCGGCATCACACAAACTGGCCAAGAATCCCAAACTGTGCCTGAAACCTGAGATTGAACATGCAGCTATGCTCGAACAATCTGGTAACTGGCTTTTGGTGCCACAACCAAACATATACTTGCCTTATGTCAACCTTTTGGCTGGCTGGTGCCAGTGGCTGATTTTTGGAAATATCAATCCTTGCTAGGAAGCAAAACGAGAAATGGCCATCCGATCATCCGCTACTTTTGCTTTGCGTAAAACAGTGGAGGTTTTCCCCGCGGTGTTTTGCCCGAGGTCAAGGATCCCCTGTGAAATGGGGCACCCGCTCTACAAATCAACCAGGAAAAAAACTTAGTTGAGACCTCTAACGCTGACCCTCCACAAAGCCCAGTTCTGAACCTGGGTCCTCTGAAAGAAAGCAACCTTAGGGACCAAAATCAATTTGCCAATAAGTAACAAGCGGTGGGGAGGGGTTCTGTGACCAGGGATCAACAGTAAACATGACCTTTTGGCGGGCAACAAGTCGGCGAACAAGCTGACCTTCCAATGCGGCATGGCCAGCTGCTCGTAGACCAGCCGCAGTTCCTGCGAGATCGTCTTGTGAGTCACCGAGTCGATTTGTTCAAATTGCAAGCCAAAGGGGCTAATATATATATATATATACATATATACATTTGTATATCTACAACTATTGCTTGTTTCGCAGACGGCCTTCTGCCTCAACCTTTCGCGGATCCTCGACGCCATTCCGCAACGCAGGCAAAGCCATAGTTTCTGGCACGAATCTAAATAGTTTCTGGCACGAATCTAAACGTACGAATGTGTAAGGAAAATGAAGCAGGCCAAGAGGTAGATCTGGAGCAGAAAGCAAGAGATACAATAGGATGAGGAGCAGGCAGCAAAAGAAGCAGAACGGGCAAGCATGCGCGAAGTACACTTTGGCAGCCCGAGCTGGACAAGTGAAGTGGCCCACCTCACTAGGCGGTATCGCTTCGGAATCGCCCGGGCATTGTTCGGGGCATCATTCTTAGCCTAGTACAAGAGCAGTGCAAGATGTACACATTGGTAGCTCAGCTCAAGCATCGCAACTGTCAAGTACCACTGTACACAAGCAGGGCCAGTTCAAGCGTCGGCATTTTCCAGTACACGTGTAGTGCGAGTAGGGCTTCATGCCGTCATAGTACATACCCTTCTGCGAAACTTCCGCTTGCCCTTCCGCGGTCTTCCGCGACCACAGCCCATTGACGCCAAAGAGGTGCTCGTATTCGGTCCTTAGTAACAAAAATATACTTAGGAGTGTTGGTTGATCCTTACATATGTATCTAGTTGGACAAATGAACATTATGGTTGATACTTACCACCAGCTAAAGATTCCAGCAAAGAAACCTTCAACAAGAAAACACAGGCAAGCAACAATGCCAGCTGGCGCAAAGCATGCCTACGCCTGGAGCCTCTTGCACTTTTGGCCAAAGCGGCTCATCTGCTCATTTCCCACTGGGCAATAATTGGCCAGCCGTCAATAAGGGAAACTTAATGAGTAAAATGCGAAACAAATGCCACACCTCTCTCCCCAGAAAACTGGGCACAAAACAAGGCCCATCCACTTTCGGCTTCCTCAGTATAGGAAAAATGAACTACTCTAAGATATTTAGCCCCCCGAACAGCGTCACATCTCAGTCTGTTGGTGTCCTTGCGGGGGAAATCACAAACCAAGGTGTATCTCAAAATTCTTCGGCCGATCGGGCTCCCAGCTGGCTTCCTTTTCTTGCTGGTGCTCAAGGGAATGAACCTTGGGGGCCCTTTAAAGGAACCCACCAGTTGGAGGGCCCATAGGGGTCATTCCCTCATTCCCTGCCTATCGTCGCAAAAAAGCAAGTAAAGAGGTGCGGTCAGACAGACCCAAGGGCCCCCTCCTCGATGGGGCGCTGGAAAAGCACATCGAAGGCATCCACGAAGACCACCTATCAACTGTCATTCGACCTGAACATACACGACTGGGGTACTAAATAAATAAGCCCCCGAATTCTCGGCAAAACCAAATACAAAATACAACAAAAGGACACCAACCGGCGACGTTTTGATTGCTTTCCCCCAGCTGAAAGCTTTGGGGTGTCCCACATCCAGCTGGGGTGGTTGGGAGTAGCGCTTGCTGGGAGGGCTCCGGATCCTGGGTTGTCCGGGATATCCCCTGACTGCGTTTGTGCTTTAGTACAAGTTGAATACAACAAATCCCGAGTCACGTCAATGGCTATTAGTTGTACTCCTGTTGAGACAATTGTGAAGAGTCACATCCAAACACCACCTGCCTTACAGATCCTCTGCATCAGTTAAGTTGGTGTTTGGAAAATGTTTTGAGCCCCTGGGGTTATTAGATTTCTCCCCAAATCACGAGTTGATCATTTACTGTTGGCTGCCAGTGCTCCTATCAACACGGGGAAACTGAGGCGCTGATGAACTTGGACTATGTCGGATGCGTGGTATGCCGGATGCGGGGCTAAAGCCTGGATTGCTTATCTCGACGTTGGAGAATGTGAAGCCAAGGGCCAAGCACTACATTCATCAGCTTGCATATTATTGGTGGTTTCGACTGGTGCTTTGACAGTTTGGGGGTGGTTTCCCATTTACCCTCTACAAGACCCACCGATAAAAGGAACCTCCGAGGCACTAACATGTGGATCTGCCCTCATGTCAAACATTGAAAATCTGTGACTGGCAAATCACACCTGCGAGTTCAAAATCATCAGGTACGAGGAACGCGTCTTGGCTTCCTGTGATTAGGCAGCAATGTGGCTTGAGTTCCCTTAGACAGCCGCTCAGGGGACAGAAAACAACCAGCACTTACAAGCTGACAAGGTGCCAAACCGCCCACAAAAGACTAGGGAGTTCAAACAGGCTGACCCAAAAATGATGAAGAATGACAGATTGATATGGAACCCCCGCAAAAGTCGGCGGATTTCTTCACCTCTGGATCCGCTTTTGGGGCTCCATGGAGTGCGGTTCTGAGCGGGATCTTCAAACCTTTCTTCAGAGAACACGGCCCCCATCCAGGACATGTGCTTGGAACCTTCGAAGGGATTCTTGGACGGGCTCCGAGAACCAAACATCTGGTAGGTCGGGCCGTAATGCATGGTTGTATGTTGTAAGTATGCCTTTCTGTACCGAGATTGAACATCCCCATGACAATTTATCCCTTGGAATCACGGAAGATGTTTCTGGAACCCGATTTCCCACAATTCGTGGCCCTGAAAGCCTCCTGCAACATACCAGGCCCGAACTCGGGTCGCGGCAGTGGCGTTGCCTGGCAAATGCCTGGAGCAGAAATGGGAAAGGAGCCGAGAACTAGGGCCTTAACAATTGGAACAGGTTTGCGGTATAGGGGTATACTAGTAGTGTTTCGCACGAGTGGCTAGCAATCCGTTCCTTCAGACATATTGAACATATTGAACACATATAGACCTATCAAACATGAACTTCCACCTCGTCATAGCACCCAAAGCTTTCTAGACCAACCTGCGCAGTCGTCACACCCAGCTTCTATAGCGATGTAACATGCCGCGATGATCCGTTGTATGGCTCTGCAGCGCAAAGTGCCAAAACAATATGCATCGGAGGAAGGATTCAGCAGTTTGCGCAAGTGGATAGAAGAACCAGACTATAACCCAAACTCCAACCCCCCAAACCCCCCAACCCCCCCCCCAAAACCCAAAACCCCCAAAACCCCCCCACCCCCAAACCCCCCCCAACCCCCAAACCCCCCAAAACCCCCCAAAACCCCCCCCAAAACCCAAAACCCAACCCCCCCAAACCCCCAGCCCCCCAAACCCCCCCAAAAACCCGCAAACCCCCAAAACCCCCCCAACAAGAAAAAGACACAGCTGACATGGAGACACACAAGGCGCGTCTTGGGTGGTGCATGCCTCAATGATTCCAATTTATCGCTTTGAAGCAGTTTGATCCGAATTCAGGCATGTCAGCCGTTACATCGCAACACAAACAAGTACCATATCTGCCGTGTATGTATATACATGTTTATGTCACATATATATATATATACACTATGTATATCTAGTATCCATACATGTTGGATGTCACAAACAACTATTCACGTTGTGTGTGTGTGTAGATGTATGAGTGTTGAATGCCAACCACACAATACATGTTTGGAATATACGTTCAATGCAATGGGTATTCAAACTGGTGTTGTTGTTTGTTGTCTGACTTGCTGGCACTTATGCGGACACCACTGCGCACAATGCAGTTGGACTACCGAAGCGTCAATGACCGCGAGGGTCGGCACCTGCAGTGAGGCCCATGCTTGACCGAACCACCCAGCTGCTTCCTCCTGAATCCTTGAAGCCAAAGGCTTCTGGGCCTCCATGGTGGGCTCAACCTCTACTCCCGCTACTGAAGCTGAAACAGGACATACTAACCTGCTTATTCCTGGCCAACAAAACAAAAACTGTTTGAGCCTTGCCAATATAATGAAAACAACGCTTAACTATTTGGAAGCTGAACAAACTAATATAATTTGACACCTCTGATGAGAATCTGCAACAAAGCAGAGAAACAAGCGCCGACATCTGCAGGAAGTTGGGCGGCCAAATCCCGGACAAAAACAAGGCTTTAAGCAAACTCCGCCATGTGTTCCCTCAAAAGGCCGGAGCGTAGGCTGCCACGTCTGGTGATTACTCAGCCTGCACCCACGGGTCATGCCTGATGGCCTTCTGCAGGAAGAGGTGCTTCTTCAGCATCACAGACTGCGCGAGCGCCGGCACTGCCAAGCCAGTGCTTCCAGTTGCCACTATAGACGACTATAGAGCAGGTTGGCAGGGAACCGCCAAGTAAACTTAGAGATTAAATACCTGGTTACCTACTATAGTGGTGACTGGATGCACCGGGTACGCCCACCTTGTGCTTCATACACAAAGCATGTGGGATATGGTCATCAGTTACGTGGACAAAAGTTCTTCTGTCCTCATTTGTCTTTGCTCAAACAAACACGCTTGCCACCAACTGCTTTGTATTTTCTACGGCCATGTGTTTCAGCAACCACGGCCCATTGGGGAGTGTCTTGTGGCTGGTCCTGAAGGAAACCCAGGCGGAAACCAGCATTTTGGAGATCCCCCAACAACACACCCATGGATAACTCACTAAAAATCAAAGTTTATCAATCAGGTGGACCGTCAGTCTCTCCCAAAGTCTTAAAAGAGAAAAACAACAGGTGGGTTCCTCTTTGAGCCATGTTCAGGAATCCCATCATTTACCCCGAGATAGACTTAAAAGTTCATGTCCACAAAAGGGTGACAAGCGCGCTGGGCGTTGTCTTTGTTGGGGACAAGCCACAAATGAAAGGCCTGCCTGCAAGATACCCAGCATCTAGACAACAAAAGCGCTTGAGTGGCATGATCCTCGCTGAACACCGTGGTTTCCTCTTTCAGCCGCCCAAACTCCCAGACCCCCGAGACCAGCCATAGTTAAACACCAATTAAATCAGAGCGCTGTTTGTTAGTTGATTGCAAAGGGACCCCCCCTCCAAGAAACGGGCCAAACATGAAAATGTAATGGAGGTATGGTTGCCCAAAAGCTCTGGCCAAAGGGGGGTTGAAAATTTGCAACATGGCCTATGGGGCACCCGTCTACTCCTCCTAAGGGAAGAGTACAAAAACAAACAAGTCCCCTCCATTTCATTACCCCCCCCTGGAAGAAAAAAGGCACGTATTTCCAATAGTGAGACATTCCCTTCAAAACCAACAGGGAAAAACCGTGTTCTTGCAAACAAAATAAACAGTTCACCAAATGGCTGGAGTCCCGTCCACCGGTCAGGCCAGAGGTGCAACAACCGCCGCACAGCTTTTCTCTGGGCACTCAAAGACCGCCGAAGCTCACGTTGAGACCTCGAGGGTTGGTGGAGAAAATGCGTTGCTTTTCCTCCACAAGGGACATTTGTCTCCCCAAGACTTGGGACAAGTAGGGCTCGGGTTGCTGGTTTCTGCGGCATAATCCTGTGTGTGGGTTGATCAAAAGGTCCTTCGCACGTGCTGGCCATTGGGGAAGCCACAAAAAATCATGACTTTCACCACTGAATGGGACAAGTTACCCATGGTCATTTTGGGGCCAGGAATATTGATCAACCCACATGTCCCTCCCAAACAAATAGATCTTGAGACCAAACCCTACCAGGAATTTGGGATCTGGCTAACCCAATTGTTTGTGGGGCACTTCGACTACATGGACCTGCCCTTTGGCTTCGCCCCTTTTCATTCCAACCAAAAGAACACACAAGGGGGGGGAACAATGATTATTCGGTGCGCCAACTTTGAGACACAGCCATATGAGTGTTGACCCAGGACTAATAAACCCGTCCCAGTATCAGGGGGGTGTGCCCTCCAAAACTGATGAATCCCCACTAAAAGGGGGCACCACTCTATTAATCAACCAGGGGTTTATCAATCCGGGCTTAACATTATGTGCTTGGCTGCCAGAAAGACATACAAACAAATAACAACCAATCACAAAAGCCTCCTCACCAAACACTCTCAGTTGTCCAAAGGGCCCAGAAATCAAAGGTTAACCTTTTGGTGCCAGGACTAAAAATCGGAAGAACAAAAAAAATACCAACAGGTCAAAAGGTCGGTTTTGGGTAAGCGAGCACTAGGACCCCGACTTCAGTACCCACAACATATCCTGACAGGATCTATCCGCAAAACCGCAACGGCCCATTCCATCAACATATCTTGGTTGCAAGATAAATGTGTTCATGTGCTTCTGTCTGCATTTGCAGGGCGAAACGAAACTATGCTTTGCTCTTGAACATCATCCGTTGTACCAAGGGGCAAAGGCAACATCTCAAATCAAAAGATGGTCATACAAAACGTCCGGGCCACTATGTGCTCAAGATCCCGGTAAATCAACAGATATGCTCATCCGTATCGCTGTAATGCTCTCACACTCGAGTTTGCAGATTGTCCTTTAGACAGGGGTTTCCCCGCTGGATGTTTCCAAACGGGGACCATCTTTAGGGCCGGAGCCCCACCGCTAACCGATGTAAAACAAAGGGGGAATTCCACAGCAGTTACAGTATGTCCTACGTGGTTGAATCGTCAGGTGTTCCCTCCTCGTTCTCCAACTGAACCCGATGGGCTCATTGACCTTTTTTTCGAACGCATGTGTTGGTGGGCTCAACCACCATGTCATGGCCTCACCTCGTTTTGGAGGTGTTCCTCAAAATACCCTTCCTCATGCGCTTCCACGCAAGATCCTACCCTTTGAGACAAGGACCAGGACCTCTTAGGAATATCTGGTGGCTTCCATCCCAACACTGGGAAAATGACGTTCCCCCCTCATTTCTTCCCTACCAATCTACGCGGAAGGTCCCTTTTCGGGGGATGCTTCCCCCCGCCCCGCTTTCCAGGTTCCATGAGACACTTTCGGGTGGATGAACACTTAGCCGCACTATCCCTGGGCGACACCTAAGATCATATTCACAGATCCTGTGGCATGTCTAACCTTAACTACACTGGGCTGTTCAAATTGGAGGGTTGGCCAATCCGATTTTCATAATCCCTAAGGATCTTGCGGGTTACCTTTGAACCGCCCAGTAAGGAGGAGATCCCAGAAACACCCATCTGCCAGTGGTTGCCCTGGGCTCCCGAAATCTCCCCCCGTTGAGCATCACCCACTCAAAGGAAACTCGTTTTAACTGGGTCAAGATGATGCTTGAATCCACCAAAAGAAGAACAACACCCAGTGGTGGGTGGGTTTATCAATCAGTATGAATAGGATTCGTGTTGTTTTTTGCGGGTTGGAAACCTCTCATATACCTCTCACTTCTCCTGTGGTAGCGGATCCATGGAGTTTTTCTTCGCACAGGGACGTCGCCCTTTCAAGCTCGCTGCAGAAAACAAGAAGCAAGAATAGGGCTAATCCAGCCAAAGGGGAAACGAACCCCGTAGGATTGGAACATCAGCATCAATGAGGGCAGTCACCAATTTTGGAGGTCCGGGAGTCCGGCAAACAAAAAATGATAGCTTTTTCCCCCATAGCCACGGGATTCTGGGGCCCATGGTCATTCCAACTCATTCCCTGCTGAGAACCGCTGCCCCCAACGACGTCGCGTGACGCCTCGTGCCGCACCTTTCGGCACAGTCAGCTTGGAGTTGAGGCGGGAGCCCTGGACCACAACTCGAGTTGGACGGGACGAGTTTGGGGGGGGACGGTCGTCTTTTGGTTAAAAGGAACCCGCACAAAATGGTGGCTTTTTATGGGGTTTCCCTTTAAAACCACAAATAGAAAAGTATCCTGAACCAAAAATGAGGGAACCCTGTTTTGAAGATTGAAGGGGAAACCAAAAGTAAACCTTTTGACCATTTAAAAACTACTCACTTGCCCAAAGGACCCAAAATGAATGGTTAACCTCACAGTGGAAACCAAAAGGTCAAAAGGTCGGCTTTGGGCACGTGAGAATATAAGAATCCCGGATTATGTTCAAATGTGTGTCTGGATTTCGGGAGTTGGCACCCCATAAGGCTGCTTCAGAATAAAACCCAGTGGAAAACCGCAGTTGCTGGTTTCTGGGGGGGTCACACTCCCTATTTGACCGCATAAAGGGGGTCTCTCTTGTTCTCGTCGGTACCCCAGAAATTCCCCCCGTGGCCCGGGTGAAGCAGGACGCCCTTGGGTTGACCATTTGTCGTGAGCCCAAACCAAAAGGGGAAAGGGGGTGGCACGAAACGACTTGGGCGGAGGGGGGGGGAGATTTTGTGATAGACCACACGGTACTGCACTCCATGTTCTTCTTTGGACTTGCCGTTTGTTCCGCTTGGTTTGAAGAGAATCTCACTTTCGATCGAGTGGAAGGCTCAGAAAAAAAAATATATCAGTCCAGGAACTTTTTGTTTACCACCAGAATGGTCCTGACCCAAAAAGTGACTAAAGTCCATGAAGTCAGGGAGAGTTAGGAATTGAAACAGAAAGCCTACCTTGGGGGGGAGGGGGGGGGTACCTCTCCGAAAGAGAAACCCCAAATATGGCCAAGCAACCATTGCATGTCACTATTGTCTCTGACTTGGGTGACCTTGAAAATAGATGGCCCTGGTAAATGGAATGCAATCGATCTAAACCAGCGACATCTATTTCTAAGCAGACCAACCGATCAAACCACCTCTGTCACCCATTTTGTGCCACTGGGCATGAGAAACCCATCCGGTCCATGCTTCAGCTGCCAATTTTGGGCCGTTCCAAACCTTGTGCAAACATCGAGCCCTGTATCATGGCAAATGTTAGATTCTGTGATAGGACCAGACATTGGCTGCCACCAATAGTGACCAGCAATTGCTCCATGTTGGCCATGATCGCACACCATTGCCACAAGTGATCAACCGTATTGGGCTTGGTACTCAGACAAGCGGAGAAAGGGCTTGGGAGAGACTAGCTCATTCAGAAGTGCCGAGCAAAGTGAGAGATCAAATGATTAGCAGGCTCAAAAACTTGTCATCGGTCGCCCGGGCAGAAACTGGTTCCATTAACTCACCGTGATCAAAATCATCCCCTAAGCGGCAGACTAAAGGGAAATACCCAACTTTGATAACCCCCAGAAACACTCAACACCATGACCCCGGAGAAAGCTGGTCGAATTGGATGAAACAACTCTTGTGACAGTGCGCTCCAACCAACTCTGTTGAACAGCCATTAACACCAATGGCTCAATGACTCGACTGACCTTGCCCGAAACCAGGATCTAAGGAACCGAAAGCCAGATCTTTGACTTGAGTGAACTTCCCTTCTCCGAAATAAAGTACTATGTCACCGGGAAATGGAAGGGGAAAGGGCCACCATGCCTTTCCCTGACCCATCCCACATCCCTCATCAAAACTTCAGCATGTCCCCCAATACCGCGTGTTCAACAACTAGGGGACGATTCCTCTCTTGGCTTTACTTGTGGAACAAATCAAAAGTAATGGGGCATTCTGCGCCCAGTCTCAAATGAACACATGTTCTTGTGCTGCCCCGGCGCGTTTCTGCTTAGCACCCACAAAAATTGGCTCCTGAGGATTTGCTCGAAAACGGTTTGGATGTGGCTTTTGTGGATCCACCCCTTTAGAATAATAACAGAGCAGTATCATATTCTACTAAAACAGGAACAAGAACTTTTACGAAAATCCAACCCGTTTCTTAGGGAAAAACAAAACAAGAAACACATTTCTGTTGAGCACACAGAATACCCAGCAACAAAACAAGAAACAACACACACACTCTTGATGATTTGCTCGCCACATCTTTGCGTCGTACGTCTGCCTGGCTATTCAGCATCTAGTCTCCAGCCAGCGGCCATTCAGGTTTAGGCGGGCCTGGCCTCGTACTTGCCGCCCAGGAAAACCGGCAAGCTATCCAGATCCAAGCCCTGGCGTGGCAACAAATCAACAAGCAACGAGAGAGAGAGAGAGAGAAGCCAACAAGACAGAGGGGGCAAAGAAACAGAGAGGGAGAGAGGGGGGCCAAGTAAAAAGAGAGAGAGAGAGAGGGAGGCAAAAGACAGAGGGGGGGCGAGAGAGAGAGAGAGAGAGAGAGCCAGGGAAAGAAAGAAAGAAAGACAGAAAGAAAGAAATAGCGGCAAAGAGAAACAGGCAAAAATGAAAGGGAGAGCGAGGAGCGCATCATCGAACCTCAAATGGCCGTAACGGCCTTCTGCCCTTTTGATTTTGTGATATGGTACGCGCGGAGGTCACAATATCTCTTTCCCTCTCTCCCAACTCTCTTTCTCTTCATCTCGTTTCACTTCTGCCTACAACATATCGCTTCATTCCACATCAGGGGTGTGATCAATGATCTTGCCACAGGAACTGAGAGAGACTCAAGTAATAAATTAGCTGCTTAGCTGCAGTCGCTCCGCCTGCTCTTGCAGTAGCTGGGTATAGTCCGAGCCCACAATGCGCACCTTCCTCGGAGACAAAGGCATCCGAGGTACGGGAGATTGTGCTGTCGAACTGGACCGCAAGGCCAAAAACCAGTCATAGCCGCGAGAAGTTGTCAGGGCATGTCATACAGAACCATTGACCTGCATAAGTAATCAATGATATTGGCACAGTCTGTTTGTGCGGGCATACTATCAATCAAGCGTCAGTTCTGTGTAGGTGAATGGCGCAAGCCAAAGAAGCTCTCTGCTTTGCAAGGGAACAGCTGTCAAACACCCATTTTGCCCAACGGTGGAAAAAACACACGCACACACATACACTCACCTGGCAACACGGCCCCTGCAAATGTACCATCACTCCCTTTTTCCAACAATCAGGGGTTCGCACAGGCTTCTTGGAAGATGACCAGTGTCCCGCGTCCATGATTATCGAAAAATGGATAAACACCACCTCAAAACCTGGCAAGCAGGTCCCACGAGATCCGCACCGTTTTCTTGGGATGAAGTCCGGAAAGGCAGCATGTTCCTCTTGAGGGGCCCTCTGATAAGTTCCATGAGGAAATAGAACCGTGGCCCACTGCCCCGGCGATTTTTCCGGGGGCTCCAAGGGCCCATCAAGCGGTTTTTCGGGGGCCCCTCTTTCCCAAATCGGTCAGCTCGCTTTGTCTGGAAGTGGTTGATTCCCATCCCCACTTCAGGGGTTTCTTGTTGGTATTCTCAGTGGCAAAGGCAACATGAACAGCATTTTAAAGGCTGGAAGTGCAGGCATTGAAAGGTTGAAGCACACAGAGCGCAAATCTTGCCGTCCGTCTCGTATGGGCTCTGAGAGTAGCCCTATTCTCCATGCCAAGTTCCGATTCCCCCTTCAATATCACCCGGCCCCACAGGAAAGTCAAAATGAAAGGTGATGTTCAACACAAGAGACACATAGGTACCCCGCCAAGCGGGGACTGAGCAGTCCCCGGCCCAACTCTTGCCCAACAAAACGATGATATTATGTTTTTGCTTCTTTTTGTCTATATACCTTGGAACATGCAATTGCCTCCTCAAATGCCCAGTGGCCATGGGGAAAAAAGGGCTTCCTTTCTTGGTTGGGTTTACATCAAGGACTCGGAACCCCTTCCAAAACAAAAATGAAAAGAAAGTTGGCGGAATCCACTTGGGCAGGTCCTTTTTTGGGGTTGGCCACATCCATAATGGTTGATCAGCATAAATGCGCACACCTACGCTGAGCCTACCCATTCTGGCGACTCGTCGAGATGCTCTCGGGTGAGCGGGCTGATCAGAACCGATAAGACCTTCCAAATCTGCACGAAGACGGCGGGAGCATTCAGTACCTAGCGACAACTGCGCATGGGTGTCCTTTTAGAAACCAAAAGCATGAGAGGAGCCTGGTAAATGATGTGTAAAACCAGTCGAAACCAGTGGAACCCATGGATTTCTAACCAAACCAGCAGATCAGAAGGACACCTCTCCTGCGATTTCAGGGACCATAGACTTTGGAGCGAGTGCGACCCGAAATGCCCAGTGTGTAGGTTTGACTTAGATGATTCCTCCCCCTAGTTACCCATAATGACAACTGGAGGCACTGGGTCAGCTTTGCCCTACGCAAGTTTAGAATCTGGCAAACATGAGTGATCCTGAACATGTCACAATGGGTCTGTCTGTCCTATGTTTCCTGGTGCGACCCTCTTTTGGGTTGGTGTGAAAAAAATGCAAAATGACACCAACCATGCTTGGGCGACCCCTATTTTGCGGGCAAACTAAATCATGAAAAAGACAAACATGGATGTGTCGGGTCGCGTATTTCAGCAGCAAGCCTCACGCCTGAAAGACTCTGAAAAGCAGGGGCAATGGGGATGATATGACAAGTAACTTAATGTGAGTGTGATGGTGTGTGTGTGTGTGTCTAGAATGTCTGTGTGATTGTGCTATTGTGTGTGTAATAGAGTGTAGATAATAAGTGTGTGCATCAGTGTGCGATAGTATGTGATAGTTTTTTTGGTGAGTGAGAGCGTGTAATAGTGTGTACTAGCGTGTAATAGTGTGTATTTGTGTGTGTGATGGTGTGAGATTGCGTGTGAGATTGCGTGTGTGTGTGTGTGTGTGGGTGGGTGGGTGGGTGGGTGGGTGGGTGGGTGGGTGGGTGCGTGTGTGCGATAGCACTTGCGTGATAGTGTGTGTGTGTGTGTGTGTGGCAGTGTGTGTATGTGTGTGTACTAGTTCGTGTGTGTGTGTGTGTACTAGTTTGTGTGTCTGTGTATGTGATGGTATGCCTGTGTGTTATGGTATGTCCGTGTGTGTGTGTGTGTGGGTTAGTGTGTGTGTGTGTGGGTGTGATAGCGTGCGCATGATCCGCGTGTGATTGTGTGTTTGAGGGACACCCTTCTCAGGCTGGGTTGAAGGACAACCCCCATGTTGACACACACTCTTTGAACATCTTGAAGTCGCATGATCGGGCATGTCCAGCAAGCTGCTTTGTTGAGTCCTTTCGGCTGTGGCCAGGATGATGCACAACAAGCCATTTCAGAGCAAGCTGACACTGGCTAAAACGTATCTTTTTGTACCGCCAGCAACCAAGTCGGCCAATTCCCACGAGCTGCATTTGGTCGGCAAAAGGAGCACCATGCGAACCTTTAGTTTATTTTGAATGTAACCCCCCAAAAAAAAACAAGAGAAACAAAAGTCCTGCAGGTCTGGAGGATCGGGGGTATAAGGTTGAGGCAGCTGGATGGAAAAGCAAATCACATGGAGCAAATCATACAAACCACTGCTCAACAAGAGAAACCGGTGTTGTCTGTCCCTCCGGTTTCCCTTCAAAACAACCAACCAACAAGGGTACCAACTCCAAAAGAAGATGCGCTGGTGACACGTCCTCAGTTGCCCAGTGACCCTGGTATAAAACGGGAATCTTAAGCAGCTTGACTAATTAATTTCCGTGGGAACTCGCCAACCAAGATGAAAAACAATGTTGCCCGCCGCCAGCGCCGGTGACAATTGAGCAACTCATGCAGCCCCCCAAAACCAACTGCCCTCGAGGAAACAAAAGCAGCCCAAGCCCCAGAGCAAGGCTTCTAGAACCTTAGATCTGAGACCCTCTCCGGAGGGAGGGAAGGTAGAGTCCTGAGTCCACACAGCTGACATCTTTCGCTGGGGCGCAACGACGCTGCGGACGAGGTCCGGGTAATCGTTGTTCATGATGTCCAACCAGGGCTTGTACTCAGCAATGTACTGGATCACGGAGAGTCGCAGACCTTGGCACGCCTTCTGAGCTCGTACGCCCAGAGGCACACAACAAACCACACCCAAAGTTCTTAGAACGCGCTTTGGACAGGTTCCATGAAAAACAAGCCAATTCAAGCTTGCGAGCAACAAGAGCGAACCGTGTTTAATCCGAAAGACCAGTCAAACGAAACAACAAGGTCAAAATACACAAAGCCCTAAGGCAAATGCCTCTTGCGTGAAGCTTCATGTCCCAAACATGCCAATCTCTGCTGTCGGACCTGCTGCCATACTTCGCATGCGCCAAATCATTGAGAGACGTCACTCACCGCTCACCATCATCAGGTAGCGATGGGCAAAGCTGGGGTCATTTTGACTTTGAGTTTGACTCACTGACTCACTGCTTCTTCTTTTTTCTCCAGTTGGTTGGTACCATGCAACATAGGCTTCCATTGGTATCTGCTGGGCATATTTTCCGCCAGCTTTCTTGGCCGCAAAGGAGACACAATTCCTGTCTGAATCCAGTCTGGGGTATCCCAACATTGAAGTCAACCGGCCGTTGGTCAATCATGCACCAAACCCATGTTCCGGTTTGGAAAGGTAGAGCTCTCCCACAAACATCAGCCTACCAAAACCCCATTCCAACCTGAGGGGAGGCCTGAAGGGTTGACCCTGGATTAATCAACCCTTGTTTATTGTTGCAGGGGTGTCCCTGGTGTTTGTGGGGATTCATCACTTTGGGAGGAGCACACTGCCAGAAGGGGGTTTATGGATCCGGGGTCAACATTATAGTGAACCCTGGTTCTTCTTCTTGAGGTACCTGGGGCTCCGTCCCCACATTTGCTTTGCAGATCAAGGCACCAGAGGCATCGATGATTGTTGATCCCCTCACAAGCCTCCGACATCCGACACGGGAAAAGCGGATTTCGGCGTCAATCAATGCTTCACCTCGCTGCTTTTGACAGTGCCCTGTTTGGGATAAAGCTCCAGAATGAGCTTGAGCTAGCTCCAAACCGCTTTGGCGGTGTGATGCACGGAGCCTTTAAACAGTGGGCAAAATTCTAAGGCTTCCATACTTCAAATCATTCCCAAGTGTGTTTTTGTGTGTGTCTGTGTGTCATTTTCCTTGGGGTACCCCTTTTGTGGTTTGCAAGGGAAACCAACAGGAAAGCCGTTGCGCCATTTTGGGAGTCCAACCGAAGGAAACAAGACGATGCGCCCAAGCACTGAATTCTTTCCCTCATCCATCCCAGTGTTTGCGGGCGTTCGCCCCAGCCTGGCCTGAAAGCACTGGGTATCAGCCCACATTTGCGTGTGTCCATCTTTTTGGGGGTTGGTATCAAGGGAAGCCAACTTTTCTGAGGTTGTTGTTTTTGAGGTTGCCTTTTTTTGAAGCTACTTTTTTTGGGGTTGGGTTAAAGGGAAGGCAAAGGAAAACCATGTTTTGGGGAGGGGGTCCCCTAAAAGAAGACAACGCCATTTCACCTCACAAGATAGCACGCCAGGACCCACCTCAAAACGCCGCCCTTCATTACTTCACCTATACCAGGCTCCAGAACCAAACTTGTCGTGTTTGTGACCAACAAACATGGATGTTGGCCTGTTGCTTGCAGCGATGAACACATTATATGTTGCAAGTCTCCAACTCCAAGTGGTCGTTTGAAGCTTAAGGTCCATGCCAACTACGGCGCCCGCAAACCTGAACAGTATACAAGCCAATGACCAATAAGATCAGCAGAGATGCTTCTGTTGGAAGTCCAAATGCCGCTTGCGTCACGCGTGTTGATCCAAGAACTTAAAAACACAAAGCAGCTGACGTCACAATTTCCCATGCAATCTGAAAGCACTCTTGTGCCACCTGACTTGAAACTCATGTACATGTGGTTCTCACCAATTCACAAGTACAGCCTCAAAACACACACTGCCGATTCCGCTCAGATATTATGTGCATCTTAAGCATGTAAGGTTGGAGTCTTCGAGCTTTGCCCAGTGCCTGCCACTTACGGAAACGCGGATCAAAACAAATTCTGGACGCATCTCCAGGTTTTTATGTGTCCGCTCAAAGCATTACCGCTATCAAGCAAAAACTCACCTCGACGCCTGACAAATATAATGTGTAAAACAGCCAAAAGGATTCCTCTTAAGAATCACACCACAAAAAGAGAACTCAACACTCAATTTAAATCATGCCAAAAAGTCCAATTGAACCGGTAGTGATGTTCAAACCCACCAAATACGGAACCCTAAAGAGCCCTGCCTCTGCTTCTTTACAGATGCCACATGCGCAGAATGAAGCATGTCTTCCAGCATGAAGACCCACCTGGGATGGCCATGGAAGCTGCATTGTCCCCAGCTGGGAGTTGACAAGGTGTTTGCTACCCGGTTGGGCTTCCATAAGAAAACGTTGCTCCTCTTTCTAGAGGCGCCCTTACTTGGACACACGCCAAATATAATCCGCTCGATAGGCAGGGAATGAGACATGGAATGACCGCGAGGAGTTTTTCGATGGTTTCCTTTCAGGGGAATCCCCTTCTGGTTCATTCCCAACACCCGGAATTGTCATTTGCGGGGGACACCAACAGTCTTTTGCTTTTGAAGGGGATAAGGACGCCATCCATTCTTGTTTTTTTAGGGGGATCCCAAGTTCAAGATCAACGCGGATGGGCAAACAGGGTCGGGTCCCCAATTCAGTGGAGTCCATCTATTTTTGCTTGTGGTTTGGTTTGGTGGACTTCACCCTCTAAATCTGTTGGTTTGGCTTCTCCACTTACATTGTGGCTACTGAATTGCGAACGGGCTTGAACTCGGCATATTGAGGTGCCTGAAAAAGAAAACGGACGGGCGCAACGACCTCATGAAGGTTCTTTGGGGGTGCCTAATTTCGGTTGTGAGAGCCGCGGTCATTTGGGTGTGTCTATTTTTAGGGAGACCCTCTTTTGCGGTTAGTGTTTTTTGGGACACACACACACACACAAAAAAAGAAGTTGGGTCCCCCCCCCCCCGATTTTGAGACGCACCCACTTGCAGGGACGTGCAGTGGTTTCTTTCCGCAAGTCACCCTATGCAGACTGGGATAATACTGGCTGATATCAAGCCCTGCGGCAAGGCTGGACTCTTCAGATCAAGTGAATTGGCTCCTTGACCCTTGGCTGAACAGCTTCTGTCAAGCAATGGTCACCAATTCAGAAAGCTCCTGCGTTGTTTCGGAATGCCTCCCTGCAAATGATCCTCGGATTTGGGTTTCCATCTTAGTTTGTAAGGACTCTACAAACTGAGTGGAGGATTTCTTTTGAATGTCTCTTCATACGGTGGCTTTGTCTGCCATAACAGCGTGTTTGGATGTGTTTTAGACATTTCGGGATGTCGGCCCCGCGTTCATCAAGCGGGGCTTTGGGGTGCTTCCGCCTAGATCCTCTCAAATGAGATACCCCGACCAGGGGTTCGGGTTCTGAATGGGTCAAAACTACCCTGCGGCTGCGATAGGTGGGCCCCCTTTAGAAAAACCACCAGCAGAGGCCTGGATGGCTTCCTGTTGGTTTCCCTTCAGCTGATCAAGAAACCTTCCTTTGGTTCCGGTTGGTTTGCTTCCCTGTTGGTTCCCTTCCTCTTGGTCTCCTGTTGGCTTCCAAAAAAAAACGAGAACCTGCCCCTTGCAGCTGGCGGTGCTGGTTCTGAAGAAGCTCTGCTAAGTTCTCCCGCGAGATGCCGGGCATGTCCACTGACGAGAAGCGGCCCAGCATCACGGGCCTTACTCGACTCGAGCCTTTCGGGCCCAGCGAGGGGCGATGCCCAAGGCGACCCGTTCCCCCGGGCCGAAAAACCAATGCCCGTCGCGTTGCCAGCCCCAAGTTGGAAGATTCTAATTGGGTTTGATATGGTTTGATCCAAAATGAGTGGAGGGCAGGGAACCACAAAATGATGAGTGTCCCTTTGCTCTCCCTTTGAGAACAACTTCAAACAGGATACCCTGAAAAAAAAGACTGGACAACATGTTAAAACAACTGCTGTCCAACCACCTCCTTTCGGTTTCCCCTTAGAGGGAACCATTGGTTGGTTGCTTAAACAATGTCTGCAACCGACTTTGCGGACAAGGGAGCATTCCGAGCGCAAAACTCCAGCAAGCTGAACGGTTTCACCCCCAAGTTGAAGTCATGTTTTTACCACAAATTCGTTGATCCTCTGTGGCCATGGGAAACAAGGGTACCTTTTTTGGTAGTTGATCACAACAAGTTGCAACAAGTGCAGGCCAGGTACGGTTGTGAAAACCGAATGTCGCAACCAACCATGAGTTGACAAGCAACCTGTTCCATGTGGCATCATGGGGGGGGAGCCTGTCTCTTAGAAACTTGCAAGAAGTACACTAACATGACCAGGGCAGCAAGTTGGTTCAACAGTACCTAACAACTTCGTGCCAATTGCTTTGGCCGTTGTAGAAAGGTGTCAACTATATGTACAAATATATATATATATATGTATATATATATACATTTATCCATTGCTCCATTTATTTGTGTGTATAACATGTGTGAATCATTTTTTTCAGGGTAGGCGGTTAGAAAGGATACCAGAAGCAAAACTGCCATCTTTGGGGTCTCCCATTTTGTGGCGGCCCTATATATTATAAATATGTACATGTGTATAAATATTATACATATATATGTATTTGTATGTGTTTGCAGGTCAAGCGATTCACGTGAGCAGTGCCTTCAAACCCATTGGATTCCACGGAGAAAAGCTGCATAGAGGTCTTTCTATCATCCCTGTCAAACCAAGTAAAACCAACCCAAACTTGGTTGCCACATGTAAGTTTTCCAATCAACAGAACCAAGTCCGAAACGGAACTCAGAGAGCACCCCCAAAATGGCCACCTGTGTCCGCTTGCTCGGACCTTCCCGTTTTCGGGGCTTCGGGCCCTCCGAGGGCGTCGTCGGGCAGCCGCTCCGCGGCGAAGAGCTCGGCGGCGGCGCGGGCTCGAGGGGACCTCAGCTCCGTGACCATTCGTTTTTTTCGGGAAATGATACCGTGGGAAACCAAAAATAGGTACAAAATGAAACCCTGAATGGAAACATGGACTAAAACCTGCCTGGTTTGATTTTGACCCATACCCAAATGACGAGTCCGGGTGGGGAACCGGTCTTGGGGATTCTTAAAACAAAGGAACCCACCGCTTGGGATGGGTTTTTTTTTGGGTCCTTCCAGGTAATTCCCGACCCTGTTTTCAGGGTTGGGGTTCCCCCAAATGCTTTTTGTTTTGCGCGCGGCTTCCTTTTCGACGCGTGCGCCAATTTACAGTGAGCTTCTTCTTGCGGTGCTGCTAGCGCTGCATGTTGGAGGCCCTCTTTTTCTGGTTGGACCAAGAAGTCCGAAGCTGAAGCTTTGGGGGGCGGGGGGCGGCTCCGAACCCGCTAGGCTTCCGGAAGGCTTCGAGGGGCTGAGGAGAACTCTCAGGCTTAAGTGCTTCTTTTTTTGTGGGGTTGCCTTCAAACCAGTCCCAGTGAGGAGAATCTCCTGAGTTCTGAAGCATTGTTGTATTTGTGTTGCGGGGTTACCTTCAAAGCAGTCCCGGTGATAGGCTGGTTGACTGTGGACTCTGGGAGCTACGATGGCCCAAACTCAGGAAGTGAGCCCGTGCCGCAGGCAGTAGTTGTGGTGTAACCACGGTTCTTTGGTTGTTGACAAATACCCCAAAAGCCAACCATGTGGGTGTGTCTCATGGTTGGTTTTCTTTTTGCTCCTCTTTACAACTACAAACCAAAAAGGTGTCCGTTTTGAGAAACTCCCACTTGACACATGTCACTTCCACTTGCCAAGCTGCTTGGGCTCAAGTTGCCAGCCATCCTTGCCTCGAGTCGCGGCACACTGTTTCGAGTGAGGCTGAAGACCTGTGAAAGAACCAACGGGAGACGCCTGATACGCCTGCACCGCTAATTGACACTTGCAAGAAACGCATCCTCCGCCTGCGCACACCTGTGCCCGTAACGGAAGCCCTGTGAAAGAACCCACGCCTGTACGAACGGGAGACGCCTGGAATCTGAAACTACTTCTTAGGGTTCCACGTCACTCCGCGGTAGCGATGACTTTCGGCCAAAGCTTTGCTCCCTAACTTGCCCTTGGATTGGTTTTCTGTCAAGGATCAGACATGGGAAAGTTACCTACACGTGACATACGTCAAGGGGACCAACACGACCAAACCCTACAGTAGTGGATCAGAGACCAAACCCTTCGACCTCAAAAAATCCATGTCTCGTGATTCAGCTCTCTGAGGGCTGCGCCTAGCTGCCCCCACTCCTGACTCGCCATGTCCAAAGAGACTAGTGAAAAGAGAGGCCCAAACGCCGTTGCTTCTAAGACCAAAGCATAGGGATCAGGGTGCCCCCGTTGCAAGCAATTTCAGGCCGGGCATGGAAACTCATAAGCCACATGGACCGCGAAGCAAATCACAGTTGTTGTAAACAGGTGTAAGCATGAGAAGGTGTGTGTGTGTGTGTGTGTTTGTAAGTACCTAGGTATATATGTATATATATATATATATATATGTGTGCGTGCAAGGGTGCGCGAGTATGATTGAGTGTCGGCGATTAAAAACACGTAAGAATTGGGCTGACCCTGCCGCGCGCATAGTGTGTGTATGCGAGAGAGAGAGAGAGAGAGAGAGGGCCTGAATATGCGTGCGCAGGTGTGCATAGCATGCGGAAACGCTAGTGCACATAGTATGTCTCAGTGTGGCATCTGCATGCTCTGATTCTGCCTCTGTGTCTGTCAATCATTCAATCCTTCAGTCTGTATCTGTGTCTTTGTGCTTTTATATGTGTGCATATTCCTACAATGCAACTCGGAATCAAATAAAAACATTCTCAGTCATTCATTGCTCAAACGCTCAAAACACCACACACAAACACAACCCCGCTGTACTATATTGGCATGTAGCGAGTTTCGGCTGCTGGTTTCGATGCTTATAAGTTATAGCCAAAAGGCGAATTCAATAGTGATAACGGATGTGTTTCGGTCTTGTCCATGGCTGCTGCGTTTGTATAGCTGCTCATCTTGGTACTGAAACCCACAACATGCAGCACCTGAGGGTACGCGGAGCATGGGAATATGGCAGAACGTACTTTCGCAATAAGCGTTATTACTTGTTGCAGCGTGCAATATATTGCTGTGCAACTATGCAAACGAGACATTAGCCAATCAAATCAAGATCCTCACGGCATGCATTGCGTGTGCCATGGCAAGTAGCAACAAACAAGTTCCCCCTTCTCAGCTTGCCGTGCGTCTATGTGGGGGTTGATCACAAGGTCCTTTGCAGGTTGGGGAAACCACCCAAAAAGAAACGACTTTCACCACCAAATGGGAACAGTTCCCCATGGTCATATTGGGGCCACGAATATTGATCAACATGTGTTTACTTGCTGAGTATCGTCTTTCGCTTGAACCAGTGGGACCTGAGAACTGGAGGTGAGCTGGGTGGTCGTCTAGATCTTGTTTGGGACAAATTGGCATACATCTCAAAATACATTGAAGAAACTGTCCAGTATCTTGGTCCACATCAGCGCTGCTCCAACAAACCACTTGTCTGCGTTTAGTTCATATGGATAAATGGACAGACTCATAGACAAATACGGCTGCTTCAGCGCCTCCATGATGGAGTCCACCTTGGCTTCGTGTCTCCATGCCTGCGGAAGGCAGGGTTCCCTATCTCAGTGGCTCGTCTTTTGCTTTAGGCTCCTTAATTACCCTTTTGGAGGTTGTGTCAAATCGAAACCAAAGGGACACCACTGATTGGGGGCCTTGAAAATAGACACGCTCAGAGTTCCCTCCCAAACGAAGGATGGTTTCTTGGAGTGGTGGCCTGTTCCCCAGTCGGTTGATTTCCCCAACCAACAAAAACGGTTCAGGCATTCCCTGTATTGCCCGTTTTCGCACAACCCGACCCAAAGGAACCTCAAATTGAACTAGCCCAACTCGTGACCTTTTGAAACCACCATGAGGGAACACATCGGGAACCCTGGAATAGCCCTTGCACACTCCTGTGGCATCTCAGAATGAAACGGTTGAGTTCCCAACCATGGCAGAGTGCTAGTGGTACAAAGGAATTCCGTAATTACAAAGAACACCTTACTATTTGGTCCACATCGGCAATCTTGGCCTTTACCTGGGTAACCCCCTTCCTCAGTGGATTGGTCATAATAAGTGACCAAACGTTTTGTTTGTGACTAAAATGGACCAGACCCAAAAAGTGACTCCGGTCGAACTCAGGGAGCGAGGGGTGAGTCCATACACCTGTAGGGTTGTTGTTCATTTGTTTAAGTATACCCCAATCATTTGGGTTGCTTCAAAGGCAAACCAAACCAAAGGGGACATTTTTGTGATCCTCTCACCTACACAAAGACAAACCCATGTCTGTTGCCAAATTTCAATGCTGGTCCCGACCGTAGCCCCCCAGGCTTTGGACCGTGGAGCATGAAGCCGTAAGCCGGGCTATCAGACTGAACAGCCGGAGGCTCCCCCAATCTATAAATGGCACCAAGTCTTCCAAAGGGGTTCAGGGTACTCATCAAAGATTGGTCCTCCAAAATTATTCAGCTGAAATACAAAGTTGCGAGTGGCTTTCTTGGTCCTCCGTCACAAGACATACAGCAGGCAACTTCCTTTATTGACACGCATTGGTTGGCCCAAAGACCCGCGCAAAACTGTTATTCGCTACTAAATAATGACTGCCAAAAAAATGATTGATTCAGGCAAGACTTGAAAAACCTACAGCGCAGTCAAAGACTGCAACACAAACTTGCCTGGAAAGTGTAAAGAATGTCTGCACCTCTCTTAAGGGCCTTTATCAGAGAAAAAAAAGACGAGTAACGTCACCGTTTTAAGCGACACGACATGCCAGGGATACCTTGGGCTCGGGCTTGCGTATTGAGAGTCAACAGAAGTTGTTCAGCTCGCAAGAACAAATGCGTCAATGCTGCACAATGCCAGGCACACTTTTTGACTTGAGCCAAGGCCAAAGGTGAATCGCACATTGCATACGTCATAGATAAAGTACACATTTCCTGACATGATCTCAAATGATAGCAGATATCAGAGTGGTACTGTGCGGGCGTAAGGTTGTTGTGCGACAAATGTCTGAAACATTGCCGACTTGGTCCTTGTTGACCAGCGCATAGACTCCACAAAAACAAAAAAAACATGATCCGTTGCTCGGAGACAGATTGAAGAATTGTGCATAAAGAAAGTAGCCAACTTGCACAATGTTTAAACATGCCCCGCAGAAGGAGTCTCAAGTTCAAGACATATTCCTTCAAACCAGCTAACAAATACCGTTGAAGGAGAGCTGACGTATAATACGGTGGAAAAGCCAGGTACATACATGTTGCCAGCGCAAATGTGTTCAAAGGGTATATCTGCAATGTTGCAAAGTCTTCCCGTCAGAAATTGTTAGGCTTAACCTGCAAACATGTGCACAACGCTGAGATGTCATTTGCTAAAATGCAGGGGAGTCCCTATGAGTCTGTTGTTTCATGGGCGACCCTTTGAACTTTGGACATCAAACATTTACATGGGGCCTGTTTGGCTGCGTCCACAAAAGTGACATGCTCACAATTGCCAGCTAACTTGTTTAAAGTGAAACAACCCCCAAGGTTAATCTTGAAAACCCCTCAAAACGCCGACTTTAAGGGGTCTGTTTGGGTGTGGCTTTAAATAGGGGGCCGCGAAAATGGCTTGGGCGGTTGTCCGTTTGGCTGTCCTTTAAAACAAGCCCAGCAACAAAAACGCGTACCAACACCAAGAACCATCCATCCATTTTGTTTTTCTGTCTCCAAACAAGCCCAACCCGAGATACAGCTGAGTCTTGTTTTGAAGTTGCTGGCTCCAACCAGTTTGGGTTTTCGAGCAACCAAACAAGCAAAAACTTGGTTGCCCCCTTGAAACCATCCAATAAGACCACCAACTCCAAAAAGGGCGAGCCACCCGATGGGTGTTTCGAGAAACCAAACGAAAACAACTTGGCTTCCCCTTTCAACAGGTACCAAGCTACAGTCACAAACAAAAAAACTGAGCCACCCGTTTCGTGGTTTCACGAACCCAACGAGTCAGCGAGTCGCAGCCGCCTGAGCTTTCAGGATCATCTCCTGCGCCTCCTCCAGGCTCTCGGTGCATGTCACGAAGCCTCGGATCTCTCGGAGCGAATCGTCTCAAGCCATCATGAAAACGACAACTTGGTTGCTGTTGACCCCTCTGCAAAAAGTTCAAAGTTTCGGGGGTTTAGTGGAAAACCCCTTGATTTCCCAAAAAGTTGAAGTCTAAAGATCCAACCCAATAGCAGTTGAGACAAGGTTACAAGGTCCTACTTGTGGGGGTGGTTTTAGACTGCGGATGTCACATACTGGACCCACTTGTGATGGTTTTAGAGTGTAATCTGCGGATGTCTCATACCGGACCCATCGTTGGGGCCGGCGAAAAGAAGCTTGTACTTGTGCGTGAAAGGAACCTTCAACCAGACCAGGACATCTCTTAAGCCCTTGGAAAAGAGTAATCTATACTTCCAGTAGTGACAGATCCCCTTCAAAACCAACAAGGGGGAAACAACAAGAAAACACATTCTGAACCAACTGGAAGAGCTGGACTCCCATAGGCCGTCCCCGATCTTTGGGAACTCATCGGCAAAGTATTCGCCGCAACTCCCGAAGTTCGAGGATCAAAGATGGTTCCCGGCTCTACCTACAAACCGCCTCCCCGCCGGGGCGTTCCTTCGGGGGGGGGTGTCCATGGGCTGATATGCAGGCACCAGAAAGTCACAGAAGGGATATATCGTTTTCCGGCGGGCTGTTTCGGGGGTAGGGCTGGTTCAGAGGTAGTCATCTTAAGGTGACTCCAGTGACCTTGGACTCCCCGCGGAGCAGCATCAGCGGATGGGCAATGCCTGAAATGAGCGGCACCCAATCCCAGGGACGTTTGCTGCGACCATGGATAAAAGCATAGTATGGGCCTTGCGAGCCCCATCAGGTAAAACGGCCAACAGGGCAGGCTGTGCACTGCTCATATGAAATACAACCAAGGCAGGTATCACATGGTGTTCAAGCTGACAATCTTATCCTTCATTGAATTCCAGAAGGGGTCTACATGCCTAATTACATATACACATGCATACAGGTGCTCGCAACATTTATACGTATGTAACTAGATATTGTGCGTGGGCGCTGCATCTTGACATCTGCAATCTTCCCTGAAGACAGGACAAACTGATTGATCTCTAAGCAGCCATAGCTGCAGGGCAAGCAGAGTCAGGCTACCGTTGGGCAATGGATCACCCATCCCATCCCCAAGCTAACTACAAACAAGTCGGTTTCAGTTGATGTACATGACCAAGCTGGCGCGGCAAGTTGGTTTAGGTACGACACAATTGGTCGACTATCGCGTGTTCACGATTGCCGCACGCGACCAGCGTACAATGAATCCCTCCCAGTTCCGATGGATCACGAAGAAACTACAACATGCTCATCAATGTAGACTCTGTAGACCACACCATTGAACCATAGGACAGAATGATGCCGCAGCATCAGATTTTTGCATTTGGACGCCTAGCTTCCATGTGGGCTTCGACTTCCGGAACAAGGTAATCCTTGCTGATAGCATAACATGTGGCTGGGGAAAACGGAAGTCAGGATGAATATCTAGATACCCTACCACCAACTAACTGGAAGTGCACAAAGCCCCTTTCCAAGAGACAAGTTGCCTTTCTACCGGGGTCTGTGGTGGGAGGAGGGTATACAATGATGCGTATAAATGTAAAACCCAGCTTCTTTCTGATTGGTGGCTTGGTGGTTAAGGGGTGTTTCCCAATTTACCCTCTACAACAGCCAGGGGTTCAAATCCAAATCCAAACCACCAACTCAGGCTTACCTGAACAAATGCATAGACCATCACCAATCCTTTGTTCAATATCGGGTGACCCACGAGGGGACCCAAACTTTTGAGAGAACCCTTCATGGGCTCAACAACCAAAAGCATAACACAAGATGTAATCGTGTCCCCCCAATAACCGGCCCCCTAAAGAAACAAATCGAAGGGGTTTGTATTTCTGGGGAGAAGTGATTAGTATAAGGCCCTAAATGATCGGAACTCACGACCAAACTAAGTCATGATCGGCCCTTTGTCTTAAGCAACACTGTTCTTCTTGGTTCCCATCTGCAGGGCCAGCAATTGATGCATTGTGTCTCATTCACTGCCTTTGAGAAAACAGGCGAGCGCTAGCAAGTCATGACTTCTCTGATCCAATTGAACTCGCAACTCCATCTCCTGTTTCATATCCTGGTTTACCAGCTCCCCTAGGCTTGAATGAACTCCTGGAATCGATTGCCAACTATTCGCCGCTTACGCAAAGTCAATGCGTCAAAGGCTAAAATGCGGGGGGGAAGGCAAGTTGACGGAACCACTGGGACAGGCGAAAGGAACAGTCTGCCCTCTGATCTGTGCTTCTCATCGCGTGCTATTGGACCAAGTTGCTTTCATCCAGGGACTGGTTGCGTAGCCTGTGGACGAGTTCTTCGACTTTGGTGCGGTACCTGTGCCGATGAACAGCCCCGATACGTCCAAGCGGACTCAAAGGCAGGGGCTTCTTCTTGGGGGGACCCACTTTTGTTGGTTGGTTTTAAAAGGAAACTAAAGGAAATACCATCCTTAGACCATCCTTTTGGGGGGGGGGTCTTAGATTTTTAAGATAATTACACCATGTGGCCTTGCATAGCAAGGACCAGGGAGGCCATTTCAGGGCATTGGGCCAAAGGATTGTGCAAGTGCTGCCCGGCAAAACCTCGTCGAATTCTGACTGTCAAAGCGTGCGTATTGTTTTCACAGCCCAGCAAGTTGAATGATTCAAAATGATTTTCCCAAGATCATATTTCCCCAAAATGACTTGATTCGTAGCACATGAACACTCCATCTTTTTAAAACCGCATGGAACCACTGGCTTGTTTCCATGCGTTTTATGGATGGAATTTGGGGGCCATGCCCGAAGCTTCTGGTCCTCCCCACACCAGCAATTGACTCCAAGACTCTTGCCAGTTTCGCACTGACACGACCTTTCACGCCAACCTTGATTCAGAGCCATAACAAGGTCATCGAATTACCCATGGTCATGAAGATGGCTCCGAAAGGTCATGCGCATCGTCCTGTTGCAATGGCTCCAATGGCTCCAATGGCTCCACGGCTGAACTTCAACCTTGGCCCCTTGGCCTGTGAAGCGGTTTATATAATCGCGCGGGGCGGTTTAACAGAAAAAAAAAAAAAAAAAAAAAAAAAACGGATGGTGCTCCGGTTCAAATTTGTCTACTAGTGGTGATTTTTCGTGCCTCTGGCCTATCCACTGAAAAGAAGCACACGCACACACATACATTTTGATCAGTATCACCGCAAGTCAAGACGGCTTCCATTGGTACTTTACGCAACACCTGAAGAACCTTCCTTCCGTGCCTTTGCTCATCTTCTGCCGGCCACATTTGCCCAAGATGTCGTTCGCTTCTTGTCCGTTTTCTCAGTGAACACGACAACGGCTACTGTGCAAAAGGCCAACACAAAGGGCAACTTAGTCATGTTCAAGGTCTGGTATTGTGGAGTCCACCCAAAGCCGATGGTAGAGTCAAAAGACGAGATATCCGCACATATGTATGGTTGGGACTATCCACGAACCTTCTGCTACGCTTTGCAATTGTGGATCAAGGTAGCTTGCCTCCGACGCAAGCGCTCTGGAACCAATATCAGCCATCACATTGCACGTCGTTGGCCAGACTTAGAACCCCCCGCTATTTGCTGACATTAGAAATTGGGAAAGGAAGGAAACGCACTGGGCCCCTTTGGGCAAAAGGACCAAATGTTGGCTGATAGCTAGGTCTGGCAATGTCAAACACCAGGAGTTGACGTCGACTCCAACCCAGCAAGCCTGAGCCTATGCAAATTCCCCCCACCCCACCCCCCGCGGCAAATCAAAAAGGTCAAACTATTTCCCAGGTAGGATCATTCCATAGAGTTGCTTAGTTGCGTGTACCACACCTGGCATGTTGATGGGACCCAAATGCTATGATTCACCAGCCTGAATCGAGGAATCCACAAGTCAACTTGCCTTTTGGAAAAGAGGGTACCTCTAAGAATGCTCTGCCTATTTCACAGCGAGCTCTGCAGGACAAACAAGGTCACCTAGAGGTAGGCCCTTTGCCTTTTTATCCAGAAACATCTGAAAACCTCATAGCAAGGCCAGATCACACTGGGGGGTGGAGTCCCCGAGTGGTAGAATGAAGTGTGTTTCAAAGCCTCGTTCTCATCGTCATCCGGATCCGGGGATCTGGGGATCTCCCGCGGATCCGCGCCCCGCCTCGGCGGCACGCCGCGGAAGCTATGCGCCACTGCAGCGCCCAGCGGCACCTGACAAAACCCTTCAATAGACCGTGCCACTGTGGGCCCAAAGGCGGCATCATTTGGGGGGAGGGTTGGGTTCACCACTGTGCAAGGGTCCATTGCAATTTCATGGCGTGGGTGTTTCTCAAATGATTTTGTGACAACCCCCTTCGGTTGGTATTGAAAGGGAAAGCAAAAGGAAACCAACCAATTCAGGGGACCACTATTTGGAGAAACCGCCAGATTATTATTCTATAAGTTTACATAGGCCGTACGACTATAAACCCTATGAAACAAAACAGTAGAACCCCACGAGACAGGGAAACAAACCAGGTAGAACCACCGCTTGAAATGATCAAAGAGAGTTTTGGGCACTGCTAGCGAGAGAACGACTGGAATGTCCATGCTGCAATCAACCACAGTGTCATCTACTGCTTCAATTTTAACTTGACCACAAATCCTCAATGAATACAAGTTCATCAAAAATGTTTACAATCGTCAAAAAGGAACACCTCCTGACTCTGCAGGCGGGATGTGTCATGCGGCTGGAAACACCAAGAGCCCCAGCCCTACCAAACGAAGCAACCATCGTCTACAAACATCCACCAACATGCACCATCGTCAAAATCACCCATCATCCACCATCATTCAAGATCATCCACCAGCATGCACCCTAGGCAATAATCCATCGTGATGCGCTTCAGGCTTCCACCCGGTCAACAAAAAGGCACGGCTGACCCCTCAAAATGCCAAGGAATGGCTTTCTCTCGAATGGCACATGCAGATACGATTGTCCAATGGCTTGAGAAGTGATATGTGCAGAATGTAAACCACATGCTTGTAGCTGAGCTGATCACCAGTGGTCAACATATGTGAGCAGAAGTTTCATGGGTGTTGCACATGCGAGGTCGTCGCTATAAATTGCTCACGACCTTTGCCGTCCAAGGAGGGCTTCTGAACATCCTGCTCACTTAACATGGACAGCCCCTATGCCAGGGCGTCCCCCAAATCGAGATTCCTCAAAAATGAATGGTCGCTCGGGTCTCATGAAACAA